CCCCAATTCACACCCTCCTCGCTCCCTATAGGTATCGCCCTGCATCTGGCCTCTTTCCCTCCTCCGCGGCTTCCTTCCAGGCCTCCTGGCCTCAGCCTCTCCCCTCCAACACATCCTCCACTTCGCAGCTGGCGGGATCCTTCCAATGCCTTCCATTAAGTGACAAACGGAGACTGTACCACTTCCCTGCTTGAAACCCTCAGGTCTCCCATTAGCTTCTGTTCTTAGCAGTGGAACATTTGTCAATTATCGTCCTGTTTAGAATCCTGATATAACATGGTTAAGATACTGTGGTTGAAGCAGGAGGTGGGGCCAGGGCTCTGCCTCCTTGGCGTCCCTCTCCCCGTTTCCAGCTGCCGCAGTCGTTTCGAGAGCTTCCTCAGAGCCCTGGGGATTAAAGAAGCACGGCTTCAATATCTCTGGATCCTCGATAAGGTCCAGGCCCTTAGTATGGAAGCCAAGGCCCTTCCTGTGCCACCAGTGTCCCTCCCTGGCTTCACTACAGGTGCTCTCATCATGGCCTGGCCCAGCAGGCTCTCACCCGGAAGACCCTCCCTAAAATCCCAAGCAAATGTTTCCTCCTCCAGGAAGCCCTCTGGTTGCCTCAGCTCCCCAAGAGCTCCATGCTCCTTTCGTGGCTGCAGGAGCCAGGCAAATGCCAGGCCCTAATTCGGCACCCCCCCCGGAAGCCCGTGAGCTTTCCTTTCTCCTCAGCCTCTGGTCCTGAACCCCCAACCTCTGAGGCAATCACCCTGGTTCCAGAAGCTTTCCTGCTAGTGAAGAAGGAGATAGGAAAACAGAAAACCCAGGGTCTACAAGGATCTGATCCCTGAGGTGTGAACCTGAGCCTTCCAGGCACCCTAGGCCTGGTTGCAGGGATAGCCTGGTCTGTGTCAGCTCCATGTCACTAACTCCCCTCCCCCTAGGCTGGCACGGGGCAGGCCCAAACGGCCGGCCGGTTAGTCTCCAGCCTCCTGAACTGATCCTCATTCTCTATCTCTGGCTTTTGTAAACACTGGACCCAGACCCACAGCCAGGCCCAGGCAGGGACACACCCAGATATGCACACAGAACCCCTTGGACACACGAAGGCACACACAGGCCCTGATGGATACCCACATGCATGCATGGACCCCATGGTTGTCCACGTGTCCATGCAGACCTCCATGGATATACACACAGCCAAGAACACACATGGATGCGTGTGCATATTCACATAGGAGGACATGTGGCTCTGATTAAGGCGGCAGCTTCTAGAATGAGCCTTTCTTTCTATGTTGACTATGTAATATGGTTTTTAAAGCCTGAAGCACCCACAATTTTGTTTGGTTCTTACAGTGGCTCTGCACTGGGGGATGGGAGGACTTCATCTGAAACTTCCAGGTGACTGATGAAGAAACTGACACTGAGGGCTGGGAGAAGAGAGCTGTCTAGGTCACCTGACTGGTGAGTGGCCAAGCCAGACTTGGAGCTGAGATTCTGGGTCTCGGGGAGGCCTCTGCCCCATCAGCCTAGACTTTGTGACTCTGGGCCCTTCCTCAGCAAGGAGTGTAGGCCACTGCCTCATCCATTTGCCTCCTCTAGGACTCTCTGCTATACCCAAAGGGTGCCAAGGGCACCTCAGGGACACCAGAAGGTGAACCCAGAATCCCCAGGATATGGGTCTAAAGGTAGATTTTTCTCAGGGTCCAGCTGGACATCTGGCTGGAGGTGCCAAGGGGGTAGTTTGTGTTCATGGGCTCTCTGCCATCTTGTCTGGAGACAGGGGGTGACTGTTGGTGCAGTAGGAGGAGAGGCTCGTCCGCCCCCCAGTCTGGGGACGCTCATAATAGGATGATTCATCTCTGCTCTCCACTCCCAGTTCAAGTCCAGAGCCAGCCCCCAACTCTTGAGGCCTAGGAGCAGGAACAATGTCCAGCAGTGGCCTAAGAGTGAGACACATTCTAGAAAGGGAGCTCAGGTGTGGAGAGACTTAGTGGGTTCCTGTGCCCCGGCTCCCTGCTCCTCCTGTGCCTCGGACCTGAGGCTCCCTGGCCTCTCTGCCCTTCTCTACCTCTCCTCCTCATCCCCATGGGGCTTGAGCCTCCCAGCTCGATAGTGGCTGAGACCTTAGCAGGTGACTTCTTTCCAAACCTCAGTTTTGTCATCTAGGAAAGGGAGGCGATACAGTCACCTTTGGGGGTTGTTTTGCAAATAGGAGGAAGTTCTTTCTAAACTTGAAAATGTCTGTATGTCTGCTTTGGTCTGCCACTCCCCCCATCCCACTCCAGTGCTCTGGAGGAGATTAGGGGGGTTGAAGAAGCCGGGTGGACGGTAGCATGATTTGTTCTCTTATGTCTACACTCGTCTCTACCCCATTTGCTGACAGCAAGAACCATGTATCTTCTGATGGTTCAGGCTGCTCCTATTGAAGCAAAAAGAGTTTGGGGGTCAGACAATGAAGGATGTGCCACCACCTCTCTGCCCCCTTACAGGGCCCCAGCCAGCCCCTCTGGTCCAGCAGGCTGGGACCTGCATCTTTAGCCCTTCCCTTGCCTGGGAACCCACTCCCCCAGCTCTGACCCCAAGGAGTCACAGCCGCCCATGGGGTGGATGGGCTGTCAAGGCCCCTTCCTGGGCTCAGCCCTCCCGCCCAGGTGAGACATAAACCTTGCTCAAGATGCCCTGGGAGGAGGTGGTGCCTCCTCATCTGCATCCTCCCGGAGCTCCCAGGTGGGCTGGCTTCTAGCCTGCACTTGGTACTGGTTTTCCTTCCCAAAGCACAGGAGGGAGCCCAGAGGGCTATAGGTAAGCTATGTGACTCAGAGCCGGGCCCTACCAAGCTTCTCTGTGAAGCCATGCTTCTTCCTACCTTTTGCCCCAGAGGGCGCCATTGACATTGAACTACAATAAGAAAAGTTGTACGGTGAGGTCCTGCTTCAGACCCCAAACTCAGGCCAGCCTGGCACTTCTGGACAAAATCCCCAGGCCCTGACCCCTCTTAATCCCACATGAGGGCTGGCAGGAATAAGGGACCATTGGAAGGCATTGCATTCTTCTCCCTCTTCCAGACCCACTCAAAAGCACCAAGCCCTGACCCAAACCCATCCCAATGTGCATGTGTATGTACATGTATGAACATGTGTGTGCACACAAGTTATAGATAGGCATGAGTTTGGTGGGAGTATTTGGTGCAGCACATGTGAACACCTATAAGCTGAGTGCAAACGTGGGTGTTTAGGGGCCTTGTGTGTGTCTGCTGGTGGCAAAGCTGCTGCTGTCTTTCTCCTGTGCTCTGGTTTCCAGGCCAGGCCAGGCCAGGCCAGGATGGGCCTCGGTGAGGAGGGGGTGCTGTGGGCTGGGGTTCCTTACTTTCTTCCAGGGTTGAGGAGCCCCTTGCCAGTCCCTGTGCAGCCCCAGCTGAGGCATCCAAGGGCTAAGAAGCACATCATGTGACGGGGAGGAGAAAGGGCAGCACGGTAGAGGGTGTGTCCCCATTTCCACAGTCTGCGCTCTGGCATCAGGAGTCTAGGGTTGTGTCTTGAGTCACAGACTGGCAGTGGGGCTGTGGGTCGACACTTGGTGATGGCCCCCTGATTCACCATGGGCCTCCCAGCCCGTGGCGGCCCAGGGAGTGGGGGCGCTTCTCCCTGGGCAAAGAGCCATGGGAGATCTCTTGTGTGGGTTACATATATGTTTGAGCCCATGGCCAGGCTCTCATGTGAATGGGATCCCATGAGCATGTGAACAGAGCTCAGTGTTTATAGGTGAGTGTACCTGCCAATCTCGGGTGTGTGTGTGTGTGTGCGCGCGCGCATGTGCGAGTGCGTAAATTTACCCAAAACGTGTTGCTAAACCCCATCTCTCTGGGTATGAGTCATCTCTGGAGCCCTCATTTCTGCCAGCCACTCCTCAAGGGCTAAGCCCCCAGGGCCCTTAGACCACCTGGATGAAGTACCTCTGGAAAATGTGGTCTCCTCTGGCAGTGCTGCCATCTTGACTGGGGTGAGGTCAGATTTGCTCCCAGTCCTCTGGAATTAGGGCGCAGGCCACCACACCTTAGTTTCCCAATTATTAAATGCAATATGGGGAGCAACGTTGCCTCACACGCCCCCTCAGATGGGGCCGACAACCCTCACAGTTTAGCCAACTTAACCTCTTAAAGGGTCAAACTCTCCCCTGGCTGGGGATCAGTGAGAGTGGGGGAAGAGAGGGTTAAAAACAGCTGGGACTCACCCTGCTGGCAAGCATGTGGCATGTGGCATGTCCAGACAACTGCAGCTCGGCCTCTGGAGCCATGTGCAAAACACACGCAGGTACACGTGTGGCAAACTGAGTTAAGGCAGCCAGGTTCAACAGACATATGCACAGCCCCGAGAAATGTCCAAGTGCGATCTGGTACACAGGGCAGACGTCATGTGAGGACCCAGCTGTGGACAGAGCTGGTCAGGACATGCAACATGGGACATGTACTCAGCACAAGGAACACGGCCCATGAACGCTCAGCCTATGTTCTGTGAGCCCACCCAGGTCCGGACTATGAGAGGGTCTCTTCTCCCTCGGGGCCCACCGCCTCCTCCCTCCAGCCCCCTGACGGAGGACCTGCTGGGTCCAGCCATCCTGTAGAGCTGGGTGGGGCCCGTCCTTTCCTCTCTGACCTGCCTCTCTCACCCGCACCGTCGTGTGGACGACCGGGGAGGTCTCTGGTGGCGGCTTCATTCTCCCCAGCCACGGTCCCGCACCTGCCTGTACCCCACGCAATCCCCTCTCAGACCCGCGCGATCCCCTCGGCCCCCAACACGCCTCCTCCTCTAAGTGCCCTCCCGGAGCGAACGTCACCCCTAAAGCTCCTCACACACACATACCCGCCGCCCCCTCCCTTCCCACTCAGCTTCCCCCAGCCCAGCGTCCCCACCGGCCTCCCCAAGCAAAGCGGTGGGGGCGGCCGCCCACACGTCGGGCGGGGCGGCGGGGCGGGCGGGGCGCGTGCCTCCGGCTCCTATAAAGGGCGCCACCCGGCGTTCGGGGCCACCGCTGCCGCCCCGCCGCGCTCGCCGCCGCAGCCAGCCCACCTCGGACGCGCCGCCGCTCCCGCCATGGGTCGACAGAAGGAGCTGGTGTCCCGCTGCGGCGAGATGCTCCACATCCGCCACCGGCTGCTTCGCCAGGCTCTGGCTGAGTGCCTGGGGACCCTCATCCTCGTGGTGAGTGGAGGGACCCGGAGAAGCCCTTCTCTCTCCAGGCCCCCCGCGCTCCGCGGCCTCTCTGTTCACACTGGAGGGGCTCTTTTTCAAGGCTGGTGCGCCCCCTCTCCCTGCTCTGCTCCACACCTTGACCCTTTCCAGGGTGGTCTTTCCCCTAGCTCTAACCCCATCCCTGACAGCTCTGACTCTTGCCAGAATGGCAGCCCTTACTCCACTGACAGCTCTGATGGGTCACCCTCTCACCAGGGCCGCAGCCCACAGGCAGGGGGCAGTGGTCACCCCTGCGGTCTGAGACCTCCAGGGTCTTCTCCTGGCTCTCAGCTCCCCAGGTGCCCCGAGTCCCCGCTCTGGGAGGCAGTGGAGCCTTTGGCAAATGGGCCCCTATTAGATTATTTGGGTCCTGGATATCTGGCCCCTAATGAATAATTAAGCTTCAGAAAGTCCAAAAGTTCCCCTGACGTGAGGACAGTTTGCCACGGGTGGGGGCAGAGGGCGGAGGCCACACAGGTGCAAACAGCAAAGTTGGAAGAAAGGAAGATCCTGAGGAAAAGGAGGCTGTGGAAGGCAGCTGGGCCCCGGGGCACAGAGGACGTGGTGTCACTAAGTCCCTCCTCTTGTGCTGAGCGGCCCCCAGACCCTGTCAGTCACCCAGACAGACGCTATCATCCTCTGCCCAAGCCCTCTGAGTTACTCCCCAGCCTTTAACTCAACCTCTGAGTTAGTTTGTGGGTTCTCAGAGTAGGCCACTTTCACTACCTGGGTCACTCCCCAGTCCATTTACTCCCTGGTTGCGACAGTTTTGTCCCTAGGTTGTTTCTGGGTGACTTTGTTTGCATTTCTTGGGTTTGACAACCACTTTCAGTCTCCATTTCCTGTCCTACCTCTTCTCTAATTTTCAGCCCCTCATGTGGTCACAGCTGTTTTCTTCTGGGTTACTTCTGGGTTCAGTTGCTTCCTTGTGGTGAATGGGTTATTCCGTTCCTGCACCAGCCCTAACTGTAGGTAACGCAGACCAGCCAGGCCCCTGCGGACTAGGAAACTTAACTAGAGGCAAGGAGGTAGAGCTGGGGTGGCCCAAATGGGTGGTGGTGGTAGAGCAGGCTCCGTGGCGAGAGAAGGTCTTAGACTCACCTTTGGCTTCCAGGAACAGCAGCGGAGAAGCCAGATGGGGCACTTTATCCACAGCCCCTCGCAAGACTAGTGGCCCTACTCATCTTCCATGCCAAGAAGGGAAGAGGGGGGAAGAGAGGGGCAGGTGCTTTTCACCCTCCTGTCCCAGAGCCTTGCGTCCCTCACTCCCTATCTTGAGTGATGGTCCATGCCCCTGTCCGCGAGCAGCCAGAACAGGGGACGTTGTCTTCCACATTCATAGAAGGGCCTCCCTGGGGCGCCTGGGTGGCTCAGTCGTTAAGCGTCTGCCTTCGGCTCTGGTCATGATCTCAGGGTCCTGGGATCGAGCCCCACATGGGGCTCCCTGCTCAGCAGGAAGCCTGCTTCTCCCTCCCCCACTCTCCCTGCTTGTGTTCCCTCGCTCGCTGTCTCTCTCTCTGTCAAAAAAAAAAAAAAAAAAATCTTAAAAAAAAAACAAAACAGAAGGGCCTCCCTAACCCCTCTCCCATCTCAGTCAGCCTCTCCCACAAAGGAGCAGCCAGGCCTTGCACTGAGCCCCAGGATCATTTGGCTTATCCTCAACCACAAAAGGAGGGTGTTAACTTCTGTGAAGGCCTTCAGGCTCAGGTCAGCGTAAGGCCTCTGGTGTCAGTGAAAAGCAGACTCTCCAGGGCGGCCTGGAGAAGAGGGGCTAGGCCTGGAAGAGCCCCGAGTGGTGGGTGAAGGCTTGCCTGCATACCTCTGTGCCCTGGGGACCCAGAGCCTGTGGTGGCAGGATCACAGCTGGCCTTGGAGGGAGGGTGGCCCCTTTCTCTGGGGTGCCTAGCAAGGCGGGGAGTGGGGGAGAAGGGGGGGAAGGAAGAAGAAGATTAGCCCCAAGGTGGTGGAACTGGCTCTGACAGCTTCTCCCTCCAAGGTCTCCTGGGATGAAGCCAGGTTTGGGCCTCAGGTAGGAAAAGAGCTGGGGCCACGGCCTGCCAAGCCGGGCAGAGTGCCCCGGACCCCCATGGGCCCTCCCACCCCCCCACCCCCCGCATACTCACAGTCTCTGATCTTTGCTCTCACCTGCCTACACACCACCTTTGCCCTGCCATCACTGCCGCTGGCTTCCCCACTGTCTCTTAGTCCTTCTGAGGGATGATAATCAAAATGCGTAACGACCCAGTACAAGAGGACACTGACCCATCCAAATGGACAAGGGCCCTTAGCACCAGTTTTGGGAGCTGCCCGCTGCCTAGGCCTAACACTTTTAGTGATGGGGAGGTAGAAGAGGAAACCCAGGGCAGGGCCTGGAGTGAGCAGCTTTAGGGAACACTCCGGAGGCTCAGGGCAATAGTTCTTTGTGTAGGGTACAGAAGCATTTTTACATTTAAATAAGAGGAACGGGATTTCTATACTTGCAGCACATCAGGGACCTTAGTCTTCTTGAATCCCCCCCTCACCGGCAGAAACCTCAGAACCAGTCTCCCCACTTCCAGTGCCCTGCTGCGGTTAGTGAGAGGGGCCACTGACATCATTGTCTTTAGGACCTCCACATCTGAGTAGGGAACCTGGACCCCTGAGGGCCGGGAGGGCAGGGTGGATGGAGAGAGGAGGCTCTGGGACAGGAACAGGGGCAGGGGCAGGGGCTCTGACGTTCCAGATTCAGAAGTGGACTCCGCCTTACTTCTGACCTCCTCCCTGTTTCTCTGTGCCCTGCGCCACCCCCCCCCCCCACCCCACCCCCCTTCGCCAAAGCTCTTCTTTGGGACAAGGAAGGAGGCAAGTACGGGCGGGCGATGAGTGAGAGCCTTCCCACTTTGTGGGCCGGGACTGGAGGGCTGCTGGAGAAGGTGTGCTAGGGTGAAAGCTGCTCCCCTATACCGCACTCCTACTGAGATTCCGGAAAAATCAGAGAAGACGGTCCAGCCATCTTTTGGGCTGCCAGTTGTAGACTCTGCTTCCAGTCCCTTCCATAGGGCCCTGTTAAATTAAAGTTTGGGTGTTGTGGGTGAGAGGGCATGTCTGCTTATTCTGCGGGCTACAGTTGCCACAGGAGGGGTGTGGGTTGGATTTCCCTGGGAAGGGCTTCCCTGTCCTCCGGATGACGGCAAGTGGAGGTTGCTGGATTCACCCCTTCCCTCTGGAGTCACAGAGTTGCTGGGCCTCACTCTCCCTGCCTGGTTCTCTTTCTTGATACAGATGTTTGGCTGTGGCTCTGTGGCCCAGGTGGTGCTCAGCCGGGGCACCCACGGTGGTTTCCTCACCATCAACCTAGCCTTCGGCTTCGCTGTCACCCTGGGCATCCTTGTGGCTGGCCAGGTCTCTGGTAAGGCCTTGCTCTGCCCTCAGTCATTACCCTCAAATGGCATTCCCGCAAGGCGCGCGCCCAACTGATGGGGTGGCAGGGGACATTCCCAAGGGCAAGGCATAGCCGTGGCCTCAGCTTTTTTGAGCTTTGGAAGAGAAGAACGGAGAAGGAACTTGATACTTTGAACCTTTGACTCTCACCTTGGAATCCGATTATCAGAGGTGGCCTGTTACATAGTCCAACCCACCGTCTGGTACAAGAAAACCCTTCTCTGCACCCGTGCTTTCGAGGGCCAGAGAGGGGGAATATGGAGGTTAGGGATCCTGGCCTCCCCACTGTGGCAAGCTACAGTGACTAATAGGTCCCATCCCCCCTCTGCCCAGGGGCCCACCTGAACCCTGCTGTGACCTTTGCCATGTGTTTCTTGGCGCGCGAGCCCTGGATCAAGCTGCCCATCTACACCTTGGCGCAGACGCTGGGAGCCTTCTTGGGTGCTGGGATTGTTTTTGGGCTGTATTATGGTAAGCATTCCCCACCCTGCCATCCTCCACTACCTCCCTCCCTCTGCTTGGGACCTGTTGGCACCAGGCCTTTTGATGACAGACAGCTGGGGCCTGCCCAAGCCCCGGGCTCATGACTCACTCATTCACTCACGGGCCCAAGGTGGGCACAAGGGGAAAGAAACAAGTTGGGCAACAATAGAGTCTCAGGCTGTCCACCCCCCCGCCCCCCACCCCCGCCTGTCCACAGGCTCCTGAGGAGTACAGTGAGGTACTCACCTGTGATCCCCCAGGAGGGTGGGCCCAGCCTGAGACTGGAGAGCGGGTCGGCTTCTGCCCTCACCCCCTCTGGGTCTGATCTGTCACCAGATGCAATCTGGGACTTTGCCAAGAATGAGCTCATAGTCTCGGGCCCCAATGGCACAGCAGGCATCTTTGCCACCTACCCCTCTGGACACTTGGACATGGTCAATGGATTCTTCGACCAGGTACGGGCCAGGGAACCGTGAGGAGCACGGGGAGGAGGAGCAAGCTGCTCAGCTGCTTGTGGGTGGCTGGGGGACAGGGCTCCTTGTCTATAGCAGGGTTTCTCAGTGTGTGGGGACACCTACATCAGAATCATGGTGGCAGGCATCGGCATATTTAGCCAGGTCCCCAGGGGATCCTTTTGGCACGCTCACATTCTAGCACCACTGCTGGAAAGAGCTGGACTCCGGAAGCGGTAAGACTGTAGGAGCCCGAGGACAGAGGAGGGACCAGAGGCTGGGGTAGGAGCAGCTCCTCACCCTGGCCTCCGCACTCCCCAGTTCATTGGCACTGCCTCCCTCATCGTGTGTGTGCTGGCCATTGTTGACCCCTACAACAACCCCGTCCCCCGCGGCCTGGAGGCCTTCACCGTGGGCCTGGTGGTCCTGGTTATCGGCACCTCCATGGGTTTCAACTCTGGCTATGCTGTCAATCCCGCCCGGGACTTCGGTCCCCGCCTTTTCACCGCCGTTGCTGGCTGGGGCTCTGAAGTCTTCACGTGAGTGCAGCCCCCCTCTTCCCCCGGCCTGCCCTAGCCTGACACCCCTCTGCTGCCCACCTGCCCCCGACCGCCTGTCTGTCTGTCTGTCTGTCCCCAGGACCGGCCGCCACTGGTGGTGGGTGCCCATCGTGTCTCCACTCCTGGGCTCCATTGCGGGTGTCTTCGTGTACCAGCTCATGATCGGCTGCCACCTGGAGCAGCCTCCACCCTCCACTGAGCAGGAGAATGTGAAGCTGGCCCATGTGAAGCACAAGGAGCAGATCTGAGTGGGCAGGGGCTACCTCCCCGCCCCCTCCCTTGAGCATCCCCAGACTGTGCAGGGGCTGCTGCCTAGAAGCCTTCATGGGTCCCTCCCAGACTGAGAAGCTCCTTGTCAACTCCCACTCCAGTGGACAACCCCCTTGGGGATTCTCCCCAGGATGCTCACCAAATAGGCCCTTAGGACACTGTCTTTAAGCTGTGGTGGGATAGGGAGTAGGCCCAACATACCCTTTGTTTCCCAAAAGGAGAATGGGCAGTGGGCGTGTGAGCATGTGTGCATGTATGTGCGCGTGTGTGTGCTTTCCAAGATACTCAGGGCAAGGGACCAAGTGGAAAGGATTCTAGCTGTTGGGGGGAGACCAGAGGAAGGCAAAGATCCATCTGTGGTGTGTCCCATCTGTGAGTGAAGAAAGTGTGAAGAGTCTGCATGTTTCAGGGGGCTCCATACGGAGAAGGGTCCAGATATATGTGTTTCTGAGTATTCTAAGCAGGGAGCTTCTCTAGGCTTTGGGGGAGGTAGGGTGGGGACATGGGGGGGGGGCTGGGAGGAGGAGGCCACAGCCCAGGTATGGAGCTCTGGTTGTATATAAGTAAGAACAGGACGTAGTTCTGTGATAATGTAGGCATGAGGGGTGGTGGGGTGAAGTCCAGGTCATAAGTTTCATGCTTGCCTTTTTTTTTTTTTTTTTTTTTTTTTTTTTTAATACAGCAGATGTTACAGTTTTAGGGATGGGGGTTGGGAGACTCTTCTTAAAATAGGGTCTTCACTCCTTTAATACTCCACTCAAAAAATGTACTCTTTTGCCTTTTATAAAAAAACAATAATAATAATAATAATAAAATGTGTGCCTAAAACTGCCAGTTTGCTCTGCTGTTGTTCTGGGGCTAGCTAAGGAGCTTCATGGTGTCCAGCCACAAATACCAGCAAGGGTGCCCCGCTGCTGTCTCACCCGGCCCGGGTACCCTAGGGCTAGTAGTTGGGCGCTGCCGGCGGTGGGGGGGGGCGGGCAGAGGTCAGTCCCACAGACAGGTCAGAGAGCCTTTTCACCATCCTCTCAGCTTGAACTCAAGTGGCCCCACACTTTCCCCCAAGCTTCCATCCTCTTGCACAATGAATGGCATCTCCTTCCTGACCCCTGCACCTACCCATCATCCCAGGAAGGCGGGCTTGAACCTGGCCTAGGGAAAAACGTTTTCTCGGGCAGAGGTGGCCAAAAGGGAGGACTAGTATTCACGAAGCAGACCAATCAGACGAGGGGCCTGTATAGTCTTCTATAGCTTGCCGCTGTTTAGGGTCTATCACCTCCACCCAGACCTTGGCCACAGCCCCCTTAGCAGCCTCCCTGGCTCCGGGCTTACCCCAGCAGCAATCAGAGGGATCTTTCTGACACCACTGTTGAAAGTGGGCTTCTTTCCATGGCTCTACCCACTATCCAGACACAACCCCAAATCCTTTACACTCGGCGCCCCCAGGACCTGGCCCGTGATCCCTACCTACCCCTCACAATCGTCCATTGCCGCCCGCCTCCTCGGTGCCCTTGTTTCTTCCTCCCTTTGAACCTTTGCTAGCGCTCGCTCCCTGAAATCCGCCTGGTCTGCTCTACTGTCTCCTCCTCTAGAAAGTCATCCTTGCTCCAACCCCACCCTTCCACCATTTTCTAGTCAGTCGTCTGAACTCAGGGAGCATGGCTACGTTCATCCTCGCCTCCCCCTCTGCTCAGTTCTTCAGTCTGATGCCTCTGCTGCCCGCGGGGCTGGGGTGGGACCACTGACCCGACTGCCCCCAGGGAGGCGAGGGGCTCGGCGCCCCTGAGCCCAGGAAGCTCTGTCAGGAAATCATGGGCCCCTTCTCACCTTCTCCTTCCCTACCTCCTTACCAGATCCTCTTCAAGTTTCACTGGGAATAAAAGGGAAGGCGGGCCCCAAGCTTAGCCCTCCTGCAGAGTTAACCCCGTGGCAGCCAGAGGATCCCTGGGTCTGGAGGGAGAAATGTGGCTTGTAGAGATTAAGCTGGTGCTCCCCAGCCACTTCACAGATGAGGGGGCCTGGCTCAAAGAGGGTGGGTGGCAAATGCAGGGCCACACAGCCAGGACTCTGGTGGAGGTGGTGATGGGAGAAGGCCAGGTGAGAGACCATCTCAGGTCTCCAACCCCTCCTTGTCCCCAGCTCCCAAGAGGTGTGTCCGGAATGTTGGAGAGACCTGAGCCAGAGGGAGTGTCCCCTTCCCAGGCCCCGAGGGGAGGAAGGGCCACCCTTGGGAGGAGAATGTGGTTTCAGAATTTCATTCCAGCCACACCAGTCCTGCCTCTGGGGCCCGTACCCTGCCATGCTGCCCACCTCCCCAACTCACGTCCAGGCTCTGCCTCTCATTAGTAGTTCTAGCTGATAACAAGTTCTAGAAAGAAATGTCTTATCTCCTTTAGGAAAGTATCGTGGTCCACTTTCCAGGCTGGGCTTGGAGGGAGAACGGCCCTGTGCGAGGGTAGATAGATCCCACAGCTCGGCTCTGTCCTCCCCGTCGAGTCCTCTGCACAGGTCACTTTGGAGTCACACCGTGTTTCTTTAAAAGTTCTAACTTGTTTGGCTTGAAATCAGCCTCCCTGAAACCTGAGCTCAGTTCCTGTTTCCTGGTGTGCCTGCCTCTGTGTGTGCACACACGTGCAAGTGTACATTTCTCGGTGTTTCTGGTTGGGGCTGGCTTTTAGTAGGTCTTATTATGTCTCTGTGGCTCTGTGACTCTGGCCAACCACATCTCTGCCCCTTTCTGTGTTTCTGTCACTGCCTGGCTCTTTGTGTCTGGATCTTTCTCTGTGTGCCTCTAAGTTGACATCCGGTGTACCCTAGCCCATCTCTGCGTGTACCTAGGAGTGACTCTCCTGCCAGCCCAGTCCGGCTCGTCTTACCCCAGGGCATGCCTCCTCCTTAATTCCTGGTAATGAGCTCCCTCCTTCTTGCTAACTCTTTCCCCTTGATTTTGTTTGTCTGAAAAACTGGGTGGGGCTCCCCCTAGGCTTGGGGAAGCATGGGTGGGGTAGAGTTGGGTAGGGTGGGAAGGGGAGAGGAGGGACGACTCCACCCCAGAGACCCCAGAGGCCAGAGGTGCCCCTGATCTCCCAAGGAAGGGTCTGTGGGGGTGCTAGCCTAGGCAAGGCTCTGCAAAGCCTCACTGGGAGGAGGGAGCCTGTTCTGGGGTGGGTCCCCGAGTTGTGGGCCAGGGAATGCTGGCCGTGCAAAGGGAGGAGAGCTGAGGCACTGGGGCCCTCAGTGAGACTGAAGGGGGCTCACTGAAGAACACCTCTGAGTCCTAAGTGGGCAGCAGCTGGGGGTGGTCTCCTCAGGGACTCAGCGTCTCCCTGCCTGAGGCCTCAGCCTTTTGTGCCAGGTTTATCTGAGGTAAAGGAGAGAGGCAATGGGAACAGAGGCTCTTTCTGGTCTCTTGGCTCCTTGGCTGTCCCAGAGTGGCATGAAGGGGAAACTGAGACCCAGAGTCTCACTTGGGATCACAGAGCAGTGCAGCATAGCCTGCACTAGAATCCAGCCTCCTGTCCCCTACCTGGCTCCCCATACCCCTTTCCCAGACAGCACTTTGCAACAGCTCAGGGAGCAAGGCTCTGGGTCCAGATCATCAGCCCTTCTGAGCTGTGGGACCTTAGGCATGTGGAGGTCTCCATCTCCCCCAGATCCCATCTCTGGCCTGCTGTGTGCCTCAGGAGGCTAATATCTATGGGGTGCACCCCTGGGGCCCTCTTGCCCCTAGCTTACCTTTGGCTTTGGCAAGAAGGAGGCACAGGTAGGAAGCCAGAGGGCAGGGAGGGTGGAGTGGGGGTGTGGGGAAAGGTCAGGGCCTTCACGTCTTTTCCTGGGCTTTCACTGCATCCCAGTGCCACTGGTCTCTTTGGCTGCCTGCTCTTCGTCCTCAGGCCTGAGGACTACCCCTTGTTGGTTCCTGTGACCCTGACCCTGCCTCTGTACATCATCCCATTCACAAGCTCATGTCAGTGGAGCCCTCTGAGGACGTATTGTTCCTGCTGGATCCCTGATAGAGTCCACCCCTCTGCTCTTCATCTGTACAATGGGGCTAGTAACAGTACCTCACTGGGTTGCACAAGGTGAGGATTAGGTGAGTTAGTATATGTACACAATAATGCCAGATGCAGTAGTAAATGCTGCAGAATATAGAATAATAGTATTATTACTATTATTTTGTCACGCATCCTTGTGCAGAGAAGGAAAGCGTGACACCAAGCCAGGCTTGCAGTGAAATGCCTGACTCTCCAAGGCCATCTCTTCCAGCTCCAGGCTGTTTGCCGCTTCTGTGGGGCCTTAGTCAGCCAGCGGGTCTAGCCCCAGTCCCTCCAATTCACTTGGACCCAACTTGCCCTGAGAAGACTGGGGTGAGGGGAGATGGAAGCCAGAGCCCCCTTCCCACCCTGGCTCTTCTCCAGAAAACTCAGGCTCCTGAGAAAGGGAAAGGTGGCTTGGGTTCAGAGTGGTTGTAGCAATGAATTAAGGGTTCACAGGGTGGTATATTTGGGATCAGGGGAGAGAATAAATCCCAGGGAGGTTGAATCCCAGGGAGAAGCAAAATCCCAATCTGTGTTTCCTAGCCTTGTCTCACAGCCTTATCAGGAAGTCCTTCCTCAGGTCTCACTGCTGGCTTGCTTCAGCTCGTCAAGAATGAGGCAGACCAGGACAATTAGCATGATCCTGGGGGCCTTTTCTAGCTCTTACTAGCACACTGGGAGTTCCAGCAGCTTTTAGAGCAGGGAAAAGATCCTTGCATATGGTCAAAGCACATGAGGCCCAGGGGGTGAGGGCCGGGGGGCACTCATGGGGAGGGCACTGGCCAAGGTTGCTGGTGGGATGAGGTTATGAGCAGGCTGTAAAGTGACTCACCTGATCCCTCTTGGGGTCCCTTCCCTTGACCACCTTGGTCATGCCTTCAGGCCAGAGTGAGGTACGGTGTGGTGTAGAGAAGGGGTAAGGGTTACCTTTCCCATCCCTAGAGCTCTCTGGGGACAAAGCCTTAAACCAGATTTAATCACCTTGACCAGCTTCTCCAGTCTCTGGCTCTGGTGTATTCCCACCATCCTCTAGCCTCTGCGTTTTTCTGGAAGGCTGCAACTAGGGATGGGCCTTTGCCAAGCTTCCTCACTGCTCTCAGAGCCAAGTAGGCCTGGCTGGGAGAGGCTGGGTGAGGGGAGAGAGAACTCTGGGAGCCCCGATAATCATCTGGACACGGTCCACCTCTTGTCTCCATGGAGACGCCCCCCATAGCCAAGGAGGCGCCTGGAACGTCCTGCCCACCACCCTCATCCTTTGCCTCTCTGCTCAGGGTCACTGCCAGGGCCTGGCCGGAAATGGGCCGAGGGAGGGGAGGAGGTGGCCTGGCCAAAGCCAGGAGGCAGGCTGCTGGTCAGAGGGAGCTCTTTCCTGGTAGAGGTGGCCTTTAGCTGGAGGATCCTTAGTTCCACGTCAGGGGTGCGAAGGGGAGAGTGACCACCACCTGTGGATAAAATCT